GTCTTCGCAGCGTCCAAGACGGCCCAATGGGCCCCAAATCTCGCCCCAAGACGGCCCGGGAGGCCCCCTAGAGGGGTTGAAGGCGGCCCAAGGGGGCCCCACGACTGCCCAAGAGAGCCCCGAGACTGCCCACAAGAAGCCCAAGATGCCCCCAGAAGGCTCCCAAGAGAGACCCACGAAAGCCATGGGGTACCTCCAAGAACGCCACTGAAGGCCCGCAAGAGGGCCATAGATGGCTTCAGAAGACCTCTGGAGGGCCCCAACTCCCCAAGGCGGCCCAAGAAGCCCCCAGGACGGCCCAAGAGTGCCCCAGGACGGCGCAAAAGAGCACCAAAAACGACCAGGCGGCGTTCTCCTACGAAATACATCAAGCTGACCCGACGATCTTGGTTCCACGTTTGAGGCTCGAGGTTTCAGTAGCTACCCGATCGAGAGAGACAGGCAATGGATCTAGATTCGAAATTCGACGATCGAAGATTTCCTGAGTGCCTGGAGCCCTCCAGGCATTCGGGAAGCGATCAAAAATCGATGTGTTCGGAGCTACTGTGACTTCTTCGGCGTGTCATGGGAACGCTCCTTACTTCCTCAAAGGATCTTCGCGCGCGAAAAAGTCACCATGATTTCCCCACTCCGGCGTACAAGCGTGCCAGCGCATTGTCCGAAAGCGGTGTCAGCAGGCACCCAGGATATCGGAAAAATGGGCGGGTCGCCCGTCCAGGCCTCGAGGTCCTCCCTGGTGAAGAAAGCGATGATTTATTGTTTTTCCAGGAAGCGTCCGGAACAAGGCGCATGGCGCGAAACGCCAATGCAGTCTTGTATATATATATATATATATATATATACACATATATATATATATATACATATATGAGGGTTTTTGAAGGATTTTGGCGTTCTCGCCTTTCCCGCTTCCCAGTGCTCCCTCACGGCCTCGGAGGCCCCTGGAATCGCTCCAAGACGGCCCTCGAGGCCCCGAAGAGGGTCCCAAGACGGCCCAGGAAGCTCCCCTGACAACCTAAGTGTGCCCCACGAACGCCCCAAGAGGGGGCCCAGAGGGGAACCGCGAACTGATATCTCGAGGTCTCTGGCCTTGGAGGCCCCCAGTAGGCCCCGGAGGCCACCAAGAGGCCCCCACGAAGCCCAGTGCGGCCTGAAGAGGCCTCCAGGAAGCCCCAAAAGGCCCCCAAGGGGCCCCCAGGGAACGCCTAAGAGGCCCCCCGACACACCCCAACAAATCATGTCCCCAGAAAGCCATCCGGGGACATGGTTCATCATGGGCCCTAGAGTCTCCGGAGGCTCCGAAGTACCATCGCGCTACCGGAGAGTTGTTTGGGAAGTTGACTGGGAACATGACTGATCACCTTCTCGTGACCCTCCGCGGATTGTTTCGCACAAAGTTGCCCCAAGCACCCTCTTGAACCGACGACGACGACGAAGACGACGCAACGACGAAGACGAGGACGATGACGACGACGACGACGACGACGGTGCGCCCCAAGAGGCGACGACGACATTACGACGACGACGACGGCACGCCCCAGCAGACCCCCCAAGACGCCCCCCAAACCCATGTTCTCAGAAGGCCTTTTGGGAACCCGCTTCATCAGGCCTCCGCCCCCCTACGCTGCCATCTTCCCCAAAAGCATTCCGGAATGCGGATTGACATGCATGGATTTCTCTATGCCCATGATGCGTTCAACGTTACGGACGCTTTTTCACTTCCCGTTCAAACCATCTGTGGTCCACTATACTTCAGTGGAGCAGTGGAATCGTCAAGGCCTGGGCCTGCTAGAACCGGAGTACATATATATATATATATATATATATATATATGTGTGTGTGCGTGTGTTACGTATGCATGCATGTGTATTTATATGTGTGAAAAAAACGTGCTCTACCGCTGCTGGCGGAAAACCGGGGGGGGTCACTACAGGTTCGAACCCCTCCCCCCCCTGACTCCGGATCCGCCCTACTTTGGCTTTTTCTCCAACTTAAAATTGCGTCGGAAATCCACCTATAAGAGGCCGAAAAAGTAGGGCGGAAATTGCTGCACCCAACATAAAATAGGGCGGAAATCCACAGAAACAGCAACAGAAAAGTAGGGCGGAAATTGGCATCAGCGGGGCTTGAAAAGTAAGGCGGAAATTCCAAGCCCTGCTTACGAATTTCCCCAGAGTAGGGCGGATCCCGAGTCAGGGCCCCCCCTCCGGAAAACCGAGGGGGGGTCACTACCGGTTCGAACCCCTCCCCCCCCCCAGTTCATCATGAAAGGGGGGGGGTCACTACCCGTTCGAACCCCCCCCCCACCCCCTCGAACTCGAAAACCGGAGGGGGTCACTACCGGTTCGAACCCCCCCCCCCTCGAAAACCGAGGGGGGGTGCGGACAGTGGTGGGGACGGTGGTGGTGGGGACAGTGGCGAGGGGACAGCGGGACAGTGGTGGGGACAGTGGGACAGTGGTGGGGACGGTAGTGGTGGGGACCATGGTGAGGATAATGGTGGGAACAGTGGGGACAGTGGGACAGTGGTGGGGACGGCGGTGGTGGGGACAGTGGTGTGGGGACAGTGGGAGTGTGGTGGAAACAATAGGACAGTGGAGGGTACAGTGGTGGTGGGGACAGTGGTGAAGGCGGTAGCGACGACGGCGGTGTGACAATGGGACAGAGGTACAGTGGGGACAGTGGTGGGGACAGTGGGGACAGTGGTGGGTACAGTGGGACAGCTCAGTGGGACAGCGGAGGAGTCAGTGGGACAGTGGGGACAGTGGGGATAGTAGTGGAGAAAGTTGGGAGAGTGGAGCCGTGGTGGGAACAGTGGTGGGGACAGTGGGGACAGTGCGACACTGGTGGTGGCACTGGTGGGGACAGTAGGGGCAGTGGTGGAACCAGTGGGGACAGTGGAGGTGAGGACAGTTGTGCTGGGAACAGCAGTGGGGGATGTGGTGGGGACGGTGGGAGGGACCAGGAGTCGTTCGCTGGAGGTGGAGGAGGGGTGGGGAGGGGTTCGAACCGGTAGTGACCCCCCCCCCGGTTTTTTCGAGGGGGGGGGGGTCGAATCGGTAGTGACCCCCCCCGGTTTTCGAGTTCGAGGGGGGGGGGGGGGGCGGGGGGGGGGAGGAGGGGGGGGGTTTTGCCGGGGGGAGGGGGGGGGAGGGGTTCCAGCAGGGGGGGGGGGGACTTTTGGAGGGTGGGGGGGGGGAACCCCGGGTTCCGGAGGAAAAAGGCGGCAATGTTCCACAGTAAAGCGGCTGTGGATCACGCTCTCTCATATGTGTATATCCACACGTTCAAGGCAACCAGGGCTCCCTGGGAAGTCGAACCCCAAATTGGTGGACAACAAATGATCGGCGGCGAGCGGGGGGGAAGTGAGAAGGGGCGAGCTTTCTCAGAAGGCTCGGAAGCCCCCCGGCCTATTGAGAAATGTTCTAAGTCTTCCCCGCAGACGCAGCACATGTTTCAGAAGGCGCGAGGGTTTCCGAGAAGTCGCGCCGCTTTCTGAGAACCCCCTCCCCTTCTCTTTCCCCCCCCCCCCTCGCCCCGCCGCTAATCTGCATCCTGACCTCGTATCGGTGAGCCGCTGTCGCCGCCGTCCCCGCGTTGGGCGCCCTGGGCGGGTACGCCCGCGGCCACCGAGGGGCCCAGAGGCCCCTGGGGGGTTGTGGGGGGGGGGGGGCCAGCGCCCGAGGACGTTGAGTTGACCCCTGGGCCTTCCCTGGGCCTACCCCTGGGCCTGCCCCTGGGGCCTACCCTCCCCCTACAGCCCTCCGCCAAACTTAGCGCAAGTTTTCCCCACCCCCCCGCGTCCCCAATTTCAATGTTCAGTTGCCGCGCGGCGAGGTCCGCGGACGCCGACGGAGCATATGTGTTACGGCATCAACAATGAAATTTGGTGGTCTGGAGGCGCGGCGGTGGAATATCTTCCGCGGAAGATGTATGTCTATCCTTGTTCCTTCTGGGTATATGTACCAGGTCTCCACCGCAGCCTGCAAGTAGGATTAAAGCAAAAGCAAATCGTGGTCGAAAGGCCGAAATGTCGTTCTCGCCTCGGCGTCGCGCTCCTCCTTTCTAGAGAGGTGAACTCCCGCTCGGGCGCGACGCGCATTTTTCGCCCGCGTTTTCGTCGGCGCGCGAGCGGAGGAAACTGTCGCTGTCGCGTTGGCACCGCGCAGATTTCGCCTGAGGGTGACGTCCCGCCTCGACTTGGCGCATATCTGTCTTTCGCCAATTTTCAGGGGCCCGCGCGAGTTAGCGAATGTGAACGACTTGTCGTCCTCGGCCATGCTCCATGCGCATTCGGCCCGGAAGTGGCGTTCCAGCGTATGCGTGGTGCATGGCTCGCTCGCCGAAGCGCATGAAGGCGACAACGGCAGCAGGGCCGCGAAGTGAGTGAAGCAGCTTGTGAGTCAAAATGGCAGTGCCGTGTCGGCGCGGTGCATGATGCTTCGTCCCCGCCGCGCCCACCATCGGGGAAGTTTGGCCGTTCCCGCCCCTGCGCGGCCCGCCCAGTTTTCTCGTCGCCAGGCCGTCGGAAGCGGGACCGGAAGCGGGACCGTGCGCGAGCTTCTTCCGTTTGCGAGGTGGGAGCGCGTTCCAGTCTTCCGATATTGCTATGTTGTGGGAGGGGTGGTGGGAGTAGGCGGGGCCCTCTGTCTCGCTCGGCCCGGCTAACTTGACCCTCGGCCCACCCCTCGGCCCTTCCCCACGGCCTGCCCCTGGGCCTGCCCCTGGGCCCTGCCCCTTGGCTTACCCCCAAGCCTGGCCCGAGGCCCTGCCCCTCGAGCCTCGGGCATGTCCCGCCCGAAGCAGTGGGTGACCTGCCTGGGCCAGGGCCCATTTCGATCCGTTCGGTAGGATCCGATTTCGGTTATGACGGGACCGATCCGATTCGGTTCCGATGTTCCGACGGTGGGCGCCCTTCGGTGGGCCGCCGCCCCCGCGCCCGCGCGCGGCGGCGCGCGGAGAGCGGCGGCGCAGAGCGGCGCGCGGAGAGCGGCCCGCCAGACGCCTGGACGGCGAGCTGCGGGCGGAGAGGCGCGCGCGCGAGGCGCTCGAGGCTCCGCCCCGCGCCCCGCGCGCGCCCCGCCCTCGGGCCGCGCGAGCCCCGAGGGCCCCGCGGGCCGAGGCCTTCCCTGGGGGGGGGGGGGCGCCCCCGAGCGGGCCTCCGAGCCGGCCTCGCTGGCCGAGGCCCTCGGGCGGCGCCTCTCTGTGGCTGTGGGGGCCTCGAGGGTCGAGGCCTCGGGGGGGGCGCGCCCTCGGCCCCTGCGGGGCCTCGGGGCGTTGGGGGCCACGGGGGGCCCTCCCCCCTCCTCCTCCTCCTCCTCCTCCTCCTCCTCCTCCTCCTCCTCCTCCTCCTCCTCCTCCCTCCTCCTCCTCCAGGATCCTCGAGGGCCTCCGGGGTCGGGGGCCTCTGGGGCGCCGCCGTGGGCCTCGAGGCCCGCCCGCGCCGAGGCGCCGGTCCCAGGGCCCTCGGTCTCCGAGGCTTGGCCAGGCGGGCCCAGGCGCCCGTGCGAGAGGGCAGGAGCGTTCCAGAGGCTGGGACTTCGCCATGAAGCACCCCCTGGGGGCTCGGTCTTCGGGGGCCTCGGCAGGGGATGGATGAGGACATGTGCGGGCCCCCGCAGGGCCAACTGTATGCACATCCACTGCCTGCCGAGGTCCCCGAAGATCGATCCCTCGGGCGGTGGTCATGGATAACTCCCCGCCTGGCAAGTACCCCCTCCCCATTCCGCCCCCATCTTTAAGTGTGACGTCCGTTCTCTGGCCCGCATGTATGCTCCGACCTTCCCAAGTGGGTCTAAGAGGGGCTGGGTGGGCCGCCGCGTGGTCAGTTTGCGCACGGGGGGGGTGTGGGGTAGGAAGATGAGGGGTTGCTCCAGGGCGTTCTAGGTTCTGGACCGGCCGCGGCGCTCGATGCGTCCTCCAGCCGCCAGACCTGCTGGCTGGCAGCCATCCTCCTGTTCTCCTCGCCCGATGAGGTTTTCTTCCTGACGTCGTATTTCTCGAGGGTCGAGGCTCGAAGTCTGAGGCGTTTTTGGGCCTCCGCAGGCCTTCGGGTGCCTCGGGAACCTCCTGGGACCTCCTCAGACCTCAGGCGCCGTCGTCATCCTGCCAAGGGTGAAGGGAGGATGAGGGGCGAGGAGACGGCAATCTTCGTCCTCCTCCCCGTCCTCCTTCGCTGTTCGTCCTCTTCGCCGTCCTCCTGTGCCTCATCTTTCTCGTCCTCCCGTCCCTTCCTCGCCATTCCCTTCCCTTTCTCGTCCTCTTTGTACGCCTTCCCTCTTCATCACTCCTCCCTCTCCTCCAACCCTCTCTCACTCTTTGTCCTCCTTTCCGTCCTCCAGCAGCCCATGGTGTAGGCACTTGCGGTCGCGCTGTCTTTTCCTCACCTCTGCGGCCTTTTGGCGGCCCTCTTCGCTGGCCCAGGATTGTGCCTTATCGACGCGGCTTGAAAGCTGTCCAGGACGGTGCGGGGGTGGGTGGGTGGGAGCAGGCTGGCACTGAGCCGACGCTGGCCAAGGGGGAAACACGTTGTTCTCTCCTGAGGCGAGGTGACGACACCGTCGCGAGTGTTAAGCTGGGATGCGTTCAGGTGAATAGAAGATACAGACAGTTTGTTTCCGAGTTGCGCGCGAGTGCACGCTCGTCGTTGAAAGTATGTAGTTTGGGATTTCCAGATCCAAATCTAATTCAAGCGCCTTCCTACTTCAATAATCGATCTGAGTTTGCGTTGTTTTGCTATTCTCTAAGACAGCATGAACCCAATATACTTGATCTACCTTCCTACTTCATGTGTATACCTATTTCTTCCGACCGACATCTAAGGGGGTCGCAGTCCACGCAGACCCCCGACATCGTGATGCTCCTCACCGTGGGCCCCCCCTACGCCTCGACTCCTTCCCCAGGGACCATCGTTCCAGCCCGAGCCAGTCTCTGATCTTGCGGCCACTTGGGAAAACCTTTCCCCTGCGGGTCCCTTCGACGCAGGGGTATCGGACCCCCAACTGGAGTTCATTTGGCCGCAGACACCCCTCGAATTCTGAATCCCAGCCAGCGTTTCAGAATTCTGCAGGGGTAGGGGTCACATGTAGGTACCTACTGACGGCCCCAGTGGCCTCAAATTGCCGAAAACCTTCCGGCGTGACTTTAGGCCATCTAGATGGGGTCCGAGTAGACGGGGTCTGAGGATCGCGCTGCATCGTCGACGCATCGCCGATCCGGCTCGATGTGGAGCTCGATTTTCTCCACGCCGTCGGCGCCGATTCATCGTCGACGTCTCCGATGCATCCTCGATGCATCGGAAGAGCATCACCGATCCGCCGCCGATGCATCCTTGTGTTTCGCCGTTCGACGTTTTCAGAAGCTGTGCCTCCACTGAGCAATATCGGTGCAACGTAAACGAGGAATGGAGGATGAGGAGGGTTGGTAGTGTTCACTGCGTAGGGGAAACAAGTCCCGCGCAGAGCAATACTCGCCACGGCGCTGGCGACGACGACGACGACGACGGAGATGAGGCGCAATAACGATACACACCTAAGCACGGATTTGGGAAAGGCCCCACCTTGCGAGGAGGACGACGACTTCTTTGATGCCCGAACGGGTACGGAAAAAAGGGTCACAATGTGCCCAGTGACATGCTGTCCAAAACCGACCGCGGCTGCTGTTGGACAGGCAATCCATTCTCTCCGTACCCATTTCGACAACACCAGGAGCGGGCGCCGCGGGCGGAGCTGTCCTGGCGTGTGGCCCAAGTCCCACTCCTCTTGGTTTGCGTGCGGCGCTTGTGCTGCGCGCCTGCCCGAGCGGCCCCGGGCCCCCCAGGGTGTGCCACCGGCCCCACGGGCCGTCCATGGCGGCGCACACCTCGGAAGCCTCACCGGACCGACGGGCCAGACGCAGGAGTGACCGGTGCTTAAGAGTGACCGCTGGTGCGCGGCCTCCGGGTGCCGCGGGCCGGACGGGGCTATAGGGCGAGGACAGAGCCGTTCCAGAGCGTTCCCCGGAACGCTCTGAGAAGGCCGCGCTGCCCGAGGCATCCTCCGGAGCCGCTGGAGCTCAGAGACTCTCGGCTTCTCCTCGCCCGATTTTCAAGGGCTCCCACGAGGGCGCGAAGTTATTCGCGCTTCGCGCTTCGCGGTCCTCGTTTCTCCTCCCCCTCCTCCTCGTCCTCCTTTTCTCCCTTTGGGAGGGCGGCGCGAGAGCGCGAAGTTATTCGCGCCTCGCGCTTCGCGGAGCGCGAAGCGCGAAGTTGGGAGCCCTAGTTTTTATCCTCGTCCTGGCTTCGTGTTATGGCGGGGAGGCGGCGAGCACTGTGCCCGAGGCCCTCGCCGACCCACCGCGCGACGGCCGCCCGCCGCGCCCACCTTCCCATAAACAAGGGCTCCCAGGAGGGCGCGAAGTTATTCGCGCTTCGCGCTTCGCGGTCCTCGTTCCTTCTCCCCCTCCTCCTCGTCCTCCTTTTCTCCCTCTGGGGGGGCGGCGCGAGAGCGCGAAGTTATTCGCGCTTCGCGCAGCGCGAAGCGCGAAGTTGGGAGCCCTAGCATAAACCGCGACGGCTCCCGGCCGCGCGGGGAGATGGTGGCGGCGGCGGCGGCGCCCGGCGGCGCCGGCCTCCCCCTGAGCGCGGGCGCCGAGGCGGCGGAGGCCCCCGCAGGGGCAGCGGTCGTCCAGGCATCCCAGGTGGGGTGGGAGTGGAGGCGAGGCTGACGAGCAGGTCGACCCTGCCAATCATCAAGGGTATCCTTGTGCCCTGTGTTTCCCGACCCATGCCTTCCACATCCCTGTGGCAATGTAGCCCTCGGAAGGGTCTCGTGTCCTCTCGCGTGTCCTGTGCATCCAACTCCGACTGCAGATAGGGTCCGAGCGGTGCGGCTCGATGTGGAGCCCGAGTTTCTCCACGTCGGCGTCGCCGATGCATCGCCGATGTATCGTCGATGCGGCGCGACCCTCCGACCCCATCTACTCGGAACCCATTGAGGAGGCTTCTGCTCTCAGCGCGGGTGCCGCCACGACGGAGGCCCCCTCAGGGCTGCGCTACCTAGGGCCAATTCAGAGAACAAAAGAAACCCATCACTGAGGTCCCCGTCTTCGCACTAGGGATACTCTGTTTTGGTGGTTCGCTTTGGCACATCTGCAGCAAAAGACTCCCTGTCCCTGATGTCTTTGGCCCTCCTACTTTAGGTCCCCTGGGGCATAGGCAAGGGGCTTGACTCGGACGAATCGAGGCCGAGCTGCTTCCTCGTGTTCGGCTGCTCGGGGCCGTGAGCGGGCCTCGGGACCGACAAGCGGTCCCGGGGAAGTGGTCCAGAGTTGGGGGCAACGATATGGGGTGGGAAAAGCATAGGGGGGACGCAATCGGCCCCCAATCGCCCATGGATCGCCGATAGGGGCTCAATAGCTCCAGCTTGCCCAGGAGTGTGCGGGTTCATTGTCGGGTGCCTCTCGCCGATCTATCGGCGATGTGTCGCCGATTCCAGGTCGATGCGTCCGCCCTCCCCATGCCTACTTCCCCCCCCTATCGCTGCCCCTCGGCGAGGGTGGGGGGCCGTGTCTCGTTCAAGTGGAGACGCTGGACGTCCTAGGAACGCAACCATCCAGCTATTGCGCCGAAGACCGCCGGGGACCGCTAGGAGGAAGGGGAGGAGGAGGAAGAGGGAGGATGGGGAGGAGGAGGGGGGGGTGAGGGAGGGGGGGGGAATAGGAGATTCAGGGGAGGAAGAGAGGAGGCAGGTACCGCCAGAATGACCGCCTCAGGTCAATGGGTGCCTAACTAGGGGTCCATGGCCGAATGCGTGACATCGGCTGGGATCCTGTTTCCCAGGTCTTGGATCCTGCTGGCCACACTCCACACTGGCCCTCAGTCGCCCACTCATTGCCGAGGGGGGCCCGAGGGCCTCTCCCCGCCCGGGAGCGCGCGCATTTGCCTTCGGGGGCCCCTCGCCGATCTATCGGCGATGCGTCGCCGATTCCGGGTCGATGTGTCAACCCCGGAGCTGGCCCCCCCGGAGCCTTTCGGGAGCCTCGAGACGGGGGTCAGTGCAAACGGGTGTCAGCCAG